ACGTATCCAATAGGAGTCTCAAACTACAACCTCTTTTCTTTTCAACAACTTTTGGATAATGCCGCGTAAACAATGTAGGCCGTACTTACAAAAAATACAACCCGTTTTACAGTGAAGATCTTATCTTTTATTTACAACACCAGGAATAAAAACAACATCAAAACATACACCGAACAGATGATATAAAGCAAATAGTTGAAATGCACGGATGTTGGTGACACCTACGCCTACACGCGGATGAATACATCGATGCGTACAAAATTTCGCGAAAACGCACGTAAGGGTTGATATATCGGACGATGAAGCAAAATCTTGGATGGGGTGTTACGTTGGATATCCCTGTCTGAGGTACGAGGAATTTATGTCACGGCCGCATTACGTGACAAAACAGACCAGTTATGTAATAAATATAATGCATTCTCGGATGATGTGACCACTTAGTAATGTTTTTGTATAATGGCAGCACAAAAAATGTCATGGCATGGAAGTGAGCATGAAAAGGTATGGGGTCACCTGTTTAACCAAGGTGGGTTTACCCGGGTACTGAGTATTCGTTCCAGCATTTAACTTCTCTCGCGCTTCCTTCCGGGCCAACATGAGCTATTAATTTAACTTAATTGCTTGTTTCGCAATCGTTCTATTATTATTATTATTACTATCACATTCTTAACGGCCCGTCAACTCATAAAAGGTCATTAGGGACATCAAACGGTAAAACAAACAGCAATCCAAAAAGGAAATAACATCAAACAAACTAAAAGGTAAAAGACAAATGCAAATAAAAAAAAATGGTTACATTACCGTAAAAGATAAAAATTGCAAGTCTTACTTTATAGTACAGACCATCATCTTTCAGATAACCTAGATTTTTTTTAATCGTAACAGTTTCAAAACGGGTCTTTAGACTTGTAATGTTACGATAAAAAAATTCTCGCAATCGTTCTAAAAGAAATAAAGATTGTACTTAATTGAGAGAAAGATAACGTATGACGAAACGAAAAGCATGGTGCAATATACTGTAGTTGGGGGACATGTATTTTGTTCTCTGGCAGACCAGAACTGAGGTATGACTGTCTACATTAGATAGACTGATATCTGTATACAGAGGGTTATAATATCCATACAGAAAATGTGAAGCGATATATTCTGTCATCTCTCCGGAATATCAGTGATATACCACAAGTGAACGTAAGTAATTAAACAATGGTACATAACTTACTAACTAAGATATATAGGTGGTCGGTTGGCGCTCTGGTAACGAATTTATTAAGTCGTCCGGAGTTCGATTCTCGGAACGAACGTGAAAAGTATGGGGTTAACTGCCCGACCACGTGGGTTTTCCCTGGGTACTCCGGTTTCCTTCCACAGTAAGATTCATTGGGCGCTTCAAGCCGGGCTAACAAGAGTGATTAAGTAATATTTAAAAAACATGTTTCACATACTTTTTTTGTAAAATAAATAAAGTTTAAGTAAGATATTGAATCTGAGCTGACGTGTTATTTATTTGATGTTTTCTAAACAAGCAAATATTGAAAAACAGACATAAACCGCAATATTGTAAAGGTGTATACGTATGTGAATGACAAGTTGTCGTTGACACGACGTTTTAATGCCATTAATCATTATACAGATTATAGACAATCAAAATGTGGTTCACTGACGTCATTTCCCTTTCCGGTAAGTATCACCAGCGGGAAACCTCAAGGGTCAATAAAACATTGAAATGGTTTTCCTACTGGGCCCCATTTTATGGAGTATTACTGTTAAGTTTTATTGCACGGCAAATGAGAATGATTGTCTAACGAGGACAACGAATTTTTTAAAATGTACAAAACGAAATTACTTCCAATGGTTTGGCCCTGACATCGCGTCGTCACGTGACTTTATCAATACAGGTAAAAGTTTCATGTATGATGAGATTTTTTAAAACATACTTATTTTTTAAACACCACCGACGTCTAACTATATTAGTTTTTATTTCGTTCTCTGATTTCCTGAATATGTAACATCTGTTTTGTTTATTATACACATTTTCATGGCTATGTCTATACTGTGATATTTCTCATTCGCTATCCTGTCCATCTCACCAATGTCTGGTGTAAAAGGCCATATGTTATTACCGTGGCATCCGTTAGATAATAGTTATTAAGGTGAGCTACTGGCTTCATTTCGAATCCTGTCTCATATACGGTACTTGTATTAAAAATCGTAATGAATAAATATTGAAAATCAAATATTGCTTATACAAAGTCCGTGGATTAATTCAAGTCTGTGGTAAGGCGTAGATAATTCCAGAACAAAACAATACGATCGACCCATACTAGTAACTACTTTTAACCTGTCTTATTTGACAATTTTGAATTGTATCATACCTAACTTGGTGTAGCAGAACTCGATAAGGCCGTCAGAGTTATCCCCCTTCGTGTCTATTTTGTTGGGCAGTGTCGGGTCGTTTCACACGATTTTCCAGTGATTTCATTCTGTATTCATCAAGATGTTCACAATTGTCTTTCACGTTCAAAAGCAATACTCTAAAATCTTACAACGCTGTATTTTTATATAAATCTGAGAGCACGTCATGAAATCATGAACCACTCATCAAATTTGTTCCTCGTTCGTATTTTTTAACCCGCAGATTTGCAAATAATGTTTTTCTAAGAAAGGTAACGTGAGTGAAAATAATGATTTTGAGGGAGTTTTATAATCCCGTGTTAAATTAGTTACACAAACCTTTTTTCAACAAAATAGAAAAAAAAACCCACATTAATAAACATAATGCAACACACAAAGGATTGTTATAGAAAATAAATAATTTTAATTAACGTGTTTAATTTGTTACATATATTTACACAAAAGCACATAGTGTTCCATACATTTCATATGTGTTCTTAAACGGTAAAAACCACCACATACAATTGTTGAAGGAAGATCAAACTTAGATCGCCATTCCTCAATGCAGTATTAATACATCGTACATGATTATATGTCAACATGTAATTATTTTTTTGTTAAAACAACCCGCCATTGAATTTGATTTTTTTTTCAGTTTCGACCAATGGATAAATAGCATGAAAAATTGATATCTTAGAAACAGAACAAACTGAGAAAACTTTTGTTCGTTCTATTTATCCGTGAAAAATAACATCATGGCGGTTACTGTGAAACAGTTGATGAAAATTTGTACTATCAAAAACTGGATGAAAGTTTGTACTATCAAAAACTGGATGAAAGTTTGTACTATCAAAAACTGGATGAAAGTTTGTACTATCAAAAACTGGCTGAAAGTTTGTACTATCAAAAACTGGATGAAAGTTTGTACTATCAAAAACTGGATGAAAGTTTGTACTATCAAAAACTGGATGAATGTTTGTACTATCAAAAACTGGATGAAAGTTCGTACTATCAAAAACTGGATGAAAGTTCGTACTATCAAAAACTGGATGAAAGTTTGTACTATCAAAAACTGGATGAAAGTTTGTACTATCAAAAACTGGATGAAAGTTTGTACAAAAAACTGGATGAAAGTTCGTACTATCAAAAACTGGATGAAAGTTCGTACTATCAAAAACTGGATGAAAGTTTGTACTATCAAAAACTGGATGAAAGTTTGTACTATCAAAAACTGGATGAAAGTTTGTACTATCAAAAACTGGGTGAAAGTTTGTACTATCAAAAACTGGATGAAAGTTTGTACTATCAAAAACTGGATGAAAGTTTGTACTATCAAAAACTGGATGAAAGTTTGTACTATCAAAAACTGGGTGAAAGTTTGTACTATCAAAAACTGGGTGAAAGTTTGTACTATCAAAAACTGGATGAAAGTTTGTACTATCAAAAACTGGAAGTACTATCCTCATATTAATATCTATTTATATTAGCACAAGTTTCTATTTCCCGATTTGCATGCGATTTAATTAAATTTTAAAACACTGATATTGTCACTGTCGACATAACCGCCTTAAAATGCCAATGACGCACTGTTTCTATAGTAACCAATACAATTAAATGTAAACAGAGTAGCTAATAGAAATCATTTGTGTTCAGACAGAAACTAACTAACATGAGCATATACAATTGCGCAGAAATACAAGGGAGTTGAAAAGTAAGCGTTCATTCCTTGTATAGGATATAAGTTAAAAGTGTATATATATCGCAATTCAGCAGTCTTTATAGAGGTATGCAGCTAGAAAATACAGGTTTAATGGGGTTGTCTGTACAATGTACTTGTCTGAAAATGAAATTCTCTTTTCCGGTATCTATAAAATTCTACAAAATATATATTTTGTCGTTTCTGTGATTTTCTTGGCACACGAAATCCTAGGATTCATATGCCCACGAAATGATAGAAAGTCAAACTGAACATCAATGCTGAGTACTCGAAAACTGGAGTTTTTTGTCGAGTAAAGGATTGAAGTCTCTTTTCTTGTTTCTATGACGTTTAATGCTCGTTGATTCAAATGAAGAACATTTCACGTTTTTGTTTTTAATATCAATGTACTATACCGTTTCCTTTAAATGAACGACGAAAATTTATTTTCAGAAAGGTTGCCGCGAAAATTACAGGATGTCTGGTTTTCAGGAATAGAATAGGAATAATATGTAAAAATAAGTGATCTCCGATTCTGACGCCGTTATTGGAAAAAGTAGTGCGAAAGCATACTGAATTTTGGCTTTCAATCTACTTGCAAAAATCAAACCTTTCAAAAGATCAGAATTAGAAAAAAGTAAGTACTGGATTTTTTTCTCTAAGAGTAAATCCTAAAAACGATGGAACAGAAAAAAATAACAATATATATATTTTAATATACAGCAACTAAAAAGGAGCCATTCCGAGGAGATCGTCTGGAGATCGTAAACATGAATTTTGATTTCATACAATTTTATCAGGTCAGGTCTATAAATGATAAAATTGATTATGAAGCACACTGTGTGTCGACAACACCAATGGGTTCTTGTCGATTCCAATGATATTATGATTACTGGTGAGTCTAACTGTCTGGTTATCTTACGTTAGTTACGTACGTACACTTACACGTGGTGGGATGGCAATTGATATTCATTGTCGAAGAACACTCCGTTTCACACCACGAGACCATTCCCGCAACTGACTCGAATGGCCCCATACCTTTACATTTCATTCGTTGCCCCGAGGCAGTCATAACACCGGGGGATCCCTGTTCGATATTTCGGTTGTTTGCCGAGGAAAATCCCCTATTAGCTGAACCACTGTTTGAGCTGCGTCCTGAAGCGCTAAGAAGGTTGTTGCCTATCTGTGATTCAGGTGGTATTTGGTTATTTCCAAAAGTCTTGGTCGTCTTTATTGTTTTTGTTGTCTGGAAAGAGTTTGATGTTCTGGATGGGTTAGAAATACTACCCGATCTCCCGAAGGTATTCATTGTTCCGAATGGCTTTTGTGTCTGGAAGGAATTTGACGATTCGATAATACGGCTTCCGGTACCCATCAATCCATTTCCGGAGGATCCACCAAGTACACCACCTACCTGCTGAACATATCGCATTGTCGCCGTACAACTACACTCACATTTTTCACTTCTACACATGCGGCGGTCGATGAGGCAGCTATTTATGCACCAAAGATTTGAGCCAATAGTGTTACTAAAATCTCCCTTGGCTCCACACATGAGGCTCCGACCGGGACAGACAGACTGTGACTCCTGTCCTGAAATAACCGTAGTTGATGACGTCGTGAAACGGAAGCCGTCAGAAGAAAGTCCAATACTAGCAAGGGTACCCGCTTTGTGGAATGCGGCAGAGCCGGGGTTGCTAGTAGTTGTAGTTGTAACAGTAGTCGTGGACTTTCCTCCCCCAGAACTTCCGTCTAGTGTTTTTGTAGTTGTGGTAATTTCGGTGGTTCCGTTAATAGTTTTGTGATTCGTGGTTTCCGTTATCATTCTGTCCCCTGTTGTGACAACTTTGGTATTGCTTCCACCTGAGTTCTGATTGATTTCATTCAATTTGTCGACATTTGCATGAATACTTCTGTCAGAAGTTATAGAATTTTCAACACTTCCTCTACTATTTGCACTGGTCCCTCCTGCCTTGTTGGCTTTGACGTTATTTTGATTGCCCTCAAATACCACAGTATTCCCAGCAATGTTACCACTAGTGCTGGACGTTTTCACTTTGCCATCTGTAGAACGAGATGACAAGTTCGTTTCCCCTGTCTTGCTGTTAGACAGACCGATTATATTGCTAAGCCTTACATTAGCTCCCCGAAATCTCTGGGCTGGGATACCAGGACCGTTCCCGATAAGGTGTGGCATCACGGAGGTCAGTCCAGACGAAATAGGTGGAAGACTTGATGTTTTAAACGATGTAGAGGTCTTGGTAATTCCCAAACGTTCGCTAGGAGATTGTGATACCGTGGTATCAGTTAATGATGGAATATTGGTACTCATTCTACCGTTTAAAATATTTTCTAGACGTATTTGATCCGCGGTAGTTCTTACAGGACTGTTGAACTGGCTATGTGTTGTACTCGATGTCACAAGTGAGTGAACGGGCCTATGTGGATCGAGGGTTACGGGAGTCTTTGTTTTTTTCAGATTCAATGTCCGTCCAAACAGCTGTGTATTAGATACACCATTGCGAGACAAACTACTTAGAATATTATTAATATCCGCTGCCCCACCTCTTAAGATACCAACATTTGCCAGAGCTCGGGCGTTAGACAGTAGTTGCTCTCGGCTGATCACGTCCTTCGAATTACCTACTTTTGTGTTGATAGTTTTCTGCGGGGAGGAGGAGCCGGTTTTCGAAAACGGCGTTGAAGACTGATGGGTTATCCCTTCAGCCTTTTTAGAACTCTGACTAGTTTCCTGAAGGCCACTACCAAGAGCATTTTCTAACCAGTTCGACCGGGATGATGAAGGAGACATTATTCTGGTCTTTTGAAATGATGTCGTACCTTTGTTACTATAAAGTAGATCTCGATCGACATTTCCAAGTGCGTTACCGATACCTTTGCCGGCAGACCCTTTTGTTGAGGAGGAGGGGGAAGAGGACCGGGAAGATGTTCTCTGTGTTTTGACTAACAAGTGATGTACAGGTTCCGGAATAAGAAAACTGTGTGGGGGTGGAGGTAAATTTGAAACCGACGATGGTCTGATTGTATTCGACGAGGCACTTTGACTTGTTTGTGTTAAAACCCCTGTACCACTATTGCCCGGGTCTTGAATTCCATGTGCGAATGTATTACCTATCTGCTGTGACATAGTTTTTAAACCACCTGTCATTAATGTATTAAGCGTAGACGAACCATCCAATGACTGGATACCCTCTCTAACAATCATATTGTTACTCGATGGACTTTCGCTATTCACATTTGAATAACTGATGTGGGAGCTGTCTAGTATATTTGAGTTTCCAGGAACATCTAAAGAGGTTCCAGGTAAAGTTTTAACTGAATCTGTCGTGGAGCCTAATGTTTGACTAGCGGTAAACGAAGTCCTTGTATCAGTCAAACCTGAACTTCCTGAATTTCGGTCAAGGTTGCCAAGGACGCCTTCATGCTGAGAACCCGGACCTGTAACGGTTGTTGTAACGCTTTGTTCCCGTACAAGCACGGACGAGCTGCCAGAAGGTCCAGTATTTTTCGATAGTAGAGGAGTATGGACATTTCCAGTATATTGTCCTGATTCGTTTACCTCTCTTGAAATTTCGGAAATGCGACCTGTAGAAGCAGGATTGGGCGATGTGGTAACATCCAACATTGCTTCTCCAATTAATTGTCTTCCAGCCTCATACGGTATTCCAGTCATCCGACCTGATATCATATCCGCAAGCATCGAAGTTCCAGAAGAGTGACCTCCCGTTTCCGCATATCTTGGATTTTCAGCCTCTGCTAATCCTGATCCTCCGATAGTCTGACTTCTAAATTCTGATGACATTGAGGTTCCTGAAAACTGACCCACGGCTTTTTTAGATGTACCACTTCCAGTCGACGGTCCTCCTGAGTCTGTAACAGACGATTTGACGTTAAGCTGACTACTAATTTCTGTTCGCGTCGATCCAACAGAAGACAGATTCCCTGCGTCTTGCAACACTGATCCACCATTTAGTTGATCTACTGTGTTTGCAAGCCTTGCCACACCATCAAATCGTCCTTGTGGTTCTGACAGCGTGGATGCATCTGTAAACTGAGTTCCGGGTTCTGTCTGTGTTGATTCGCCAACGAATTGACTTCCTATTGATGTTTGTACTGACTCGCTATTAAGTCGACTTCCTGTTCGTGTTGGTCCTCCTATCAACTGACTTCCCGTTTCTGTAAGTGTTATCTGACTACCGGATTCTGGTGATGCACCTTTAAGAGATGATCCTCCCATAAATGTGTTTTCAGTTTCTGTTAGTATTGTTTGACTATTTAATTGATTTGCATTTGGTTTATATCCATCTATGAACTGATTTCTAGTGTCTGTTACTGTTGATCCTCCTTCTAACTGGCTGCCGACTTCAGTAATTGTTGATCCGCTTTTAAACTGACTTTGAGCTTCTGTTAGTGTTGCTCCTTCTTGCAACTGGCTTCCGACTTCAGTAATTGTTGATCCGCTTTTAAACTGACTTCTAGCATCTGTGAGTGGTATTGATCCTTCTTGAAACTGGCTTCCGACTTCAGTAATTGTTGATCCGCTATTAAACTGACTTCTAGCATCTGTGAGTGGTATTGATCCTTCTTGCAACTGGCTTCCGACTTCAGTAATTGTTGATCCGCTATTAAACTGACTTCTAGCATCTGTGAGTGGCATTGCTCCTTCTTGTAACTGGCTTATGGCTCCTGTAAATGTTGATCCGCTTTTAAACTGACTTCTAGCATCTGTGAGTGGTATTGATCCTTCTTGCAACTGGCTTCCGACTTCAGTAATTGTTGATCCGCTATTAAACTGACTTCTAGCATCTGTGAGTGGTATTGATCCTTCTTGTAACTGGCTTCCGGCTCCTGTAAATGTTGATCCACTATTTAAATGGCTTCCGGATTCAGTAGGTGTTGATCCGCTATACAACTGGCTTGTGGTTTCCGCTTGTGTTGATACGCTTGAATGCTGAATTCCAGGTTCTGTCAGTGATGACCCTCCCTGTAATTGGCCAGGGGTTCCTGCAAGCGTAGATCCGCTATAAAACTGGCCTCCGGTACCTGTTTGTGTTGCTGTAAACTGACTTTGGGTCCCCGTTAACGTCAACTGTCCTGAAACTCCGTTTCCTGTATCTGTAGGAGTCGATCCATAATGAGCTTGTTTACCAAGCTCTGTTTGCATCGATATGTCATTGATCTGGCCTCCTGTCTCTGTTAATGTTGAACCAGCAGGAAGTTGACCTCCATCTATGATAGGTCCTGTCGGCACGGTCTCAAGCTTATTTGTGTGAATGTCACCACCAGCAACAGTTTGAAAACCATTCATGTGGTGTCCAGGCATTAATGAACTACCAACGTTTGATATGGTATTTCCAGTGTTTGTAGTCAAGACGGAAATGGAATTCGACGCTGTGTTGGTGTTTTTCGAAGGTACAAACTCCAACATGTTAGTGTTCGTATCAGCGATCCCTTCATTATTACCAGTGAAAAGGGAGTGTTTCTGCATCAGAGCATAGCCATTTGACATTGTATTCTGTAATCTGTTTTCTTTTCCAGATTCCATTGTAGCTCCTCCACTTGATATTTGCATTAGACTGTTGATATTAGTCGCACTGTCGCTCATCAATGTTTCTGCTGGATTTGCAGGTTCTATTATAGTTGATCCACTATTACGTTCACTCTCAGTTTTCACGTATGACGAACCCCTAGTGTGTGGAAGTGATGCAGATAATTGATTTCCAGTTTCCGTTAATACCTGTGGATTGCTAGATTCTCTAAGTGTTGCGACACTGTTTACAGACGAACCTTCAGTAAGCTGACCGATGCCCTCTGTATACGTTACAGCATTTGGTGAACCGGTAAAGTGCGCTTGTGTTGCGACTGCGTCAACATTTGTAGTGGAACCTGACGAAGTAGCAAATCCACCTTCAGTATTAACATTATCAGTTCCGCCTGTAACTCGGACTGTTTTTGTAGTAAGTTCTCTCCTTTCAGTGGCGAGCGGAAGATTTCCTCCGGATCTAATTATGGAAGACTGTTCTGTTTGACCAGTGATGGTATCGCCATTACTGACGCCTGTAGATCCAGCAGAACTATCAATATATGTTGAAGAGGTATCTGGTTTTGATAACGCTCTTTCGACTTCCGTTCTCAAAGCTGAAGCTGGTTCTTCAATGGTATTTCCTTCGATACCACGTGCATCTAAGGCGACAAACCCTCCGTCTTGCGGCAGAGCGTGAGTGACAAAGCCTGTGCCTGTCGACTCCAGTATGCTAATAGAGTGGCCAGCTGAACTAGTAGGAAAATCAGGTTTGTGCAGAAGAAAATTATTGTGTTCAGAAACAGAATTAGCATTATTAGCAACAGCAGTAAATTCAGGGTTAATATCCTGCGTATAACCTGGCGTTGTGGAAGTGATACTGTCTTGGTTGACAATATTTGTATTCGTCAATGTGATAGATGAAGATTCACGCCCTGCTGTGTTGTTACCATCTGCCTGTGCTTCAGCAGTGTAGGTGGCTCCTTGTGATTGCAAAGTATTTGTATTGGACATCACAGAACCACCTTCGCCTCCCAGAACCACGTTATTACCAAAATGTTTTGATTTTAAGATGGTGATAGATTCTGACGTCATAAAATTACTGTCAACATTTCCAGTGTCTACTGGTGTCAGTTTATCCTTTGACGACTTAACTGCAGTATGTGTAGATGAAGCACCCTCAGTAACACCATTCCCAGATAGATCCTGATGTAAAGATTGGGTTCTTAAAGCATCTGAACTGTACCTCGTGACTGATGAAGGCTGTGTATTTGAATATTCTGCGACCGCTTCATTTTGTGCGTTTATATTAACAGAGGATTTACTTCCCGTGATTTCTGTATTTCTGCCATCAACGGATTGTCCTTGGACAGTCTGTCCACTGACTAAAGGTACCATCATTTCTGAGGTCAACGTGTTATACGTTGCCTCATGTGTTTGCGTTTTCCCTGTAATGGAAGACCCGTCGACATTTGATTGTCCTGTACTCTGATCTCCTTTTATCACGTTTGATCCGACGACGGCATTGCCTTGCTGACTGTTCGAACTATGACTCTGTTGTGAAAAATGGGTTGTGACAGTCGCTCCGACTGATCCTGAGGATATGCTTGGATTATCTACACCATCGACAATGTTTGATGTACTCCCAACCGAATACACATCACCAGTGTATGTGTCTGTAGCAGTACGATTACTTCCATCTGGATTCATGATGTCTGTTATTGAGATAAGTTGTTGTTTTGTTACCAGAGAACTGATCATGTCCAGGAAAGACAACAGTTTGGACCGCGCGATGTTCGTGCCGCTTGAGATGATTGAGTTAAGCACAGGGACAAGGTCTTGCCTACCAGATTTTTCAATCAGTTGTTTGATCAACGTATAAATTGTCATTGCATCCTGGTCGCTTAATCGAATTGTATGTTGTGCGACATTCGTATTATATACTGTTTGACCCATTAACGGATCTTTCGTCAGCTCAACTGGACCTTGGTCAGCTTGTTGGTTGGATGTCGTCTGAGAAAGACTGTCAGATCCATAGGAGATCACAGTTTCACTTGTGCCTGACTTTGATGGTAGGACCATCTGACCCCCACCACTTGTAGTATCCAAAACGCTTCCCTGAAGATTTACTGTTTGGAAAATATTGCCAGCATTCATTGAAACAGAATTACCAGTTTTTAACTTTTCATCAACTCCTGGAATACTGTAGTGAGCGACATTGGAAGGATTCGTCTTCATTGCAACAACAACACTTGATGACCCAAGGTTCTGTTCGCTATGTGCAGCCGTTGTTTCCACTGTATTTGAATATGCTTCGGTTTTGTCGATTGTTTCGAACTGGGACGTCGGTGTTACCATCGTATCGTGATTATTATCCGACGTTCCACCTGTTGTTAATAAATCGTTCGTGCTTTTTACACTCTCAAAGTAATTTGTCTGCATACCTGTACTTTCAAATTGGTCAATTGGTGTGGCCGTTGACTCAAATTGCGATGTTTGAAGTCCTGCTGACGTTGGTGTTCCTGTTGTTTCCAACTGATTACTTGACTTTCCTCCTTTTTCCAAAGTATTGTTTGTTATTTGAACACTTTCAAATTGACTTGTCGCTGTTCCTGCATGTCCTAAATAATTTGTGGATGTTGGAGTTGTTTTAAATTGTGACGTTGGAATTCCTGTTGTTTCAGAACGAATTGCTGATGTTACCGTTGATTCAAATTGATTACTCGTGTTATTTTGAGGACTGTTTCTTGGTACAACAGTGTTAGAGAATGGACTGACAGATGATATATATTTTCCCGCCTCAACAGCAGAGGCCTCAGTAATGCTTCGAACTTCTGCCAAGGCATTCAAAGAAGCCATGTCTACTGATTCTCTCTGAGCGTTATCCGATACAGGTGTATTCATAAATCCATAGTCAACATTCGTTCGTGTATTACTGAGGCTTGATGTAGACGACATGGTTCCATCGATGTTATTTGTGTTTCCTTTAACCGTAGGTAGATCATTCGCATAAGCATTGCTCATATGTACATAGTTGGCATCAGCATTAAAACTGGTGTCGATGCCGTGGCCACTTTTGCCAGATGTAACATCCGCCTGAGGTTGAGGTGCTACTGCATAACCTGTTTCAGCAGCCTTTCCTGATGACATTATATCTTGATATTGAGAGGAGCCTTCAACATTTCCAGATGTGGCAATACTACGGTATTGGGTGGTATCGACAACATTTCCAGATGTCACGCCCTCTATGAATTGAGAAGAGCTTACAGAATTTTTATTGAAATGTCCAGATGTCACGCCTCCTTGATATTCGGTGGTATCGACAACGCTACCAGGGGCCGCGCCTTCTATATATTGAGCTGAATTCGTAGAATTGGATTTAACAAGATTTCTATGTGCCACGCCTTCTAGGTATTGTGTGGTTTCTACACCGTTTCCAGATGCCATACCTTCTGTGTATTGAGAAGAAATTATAGACTTGGTATCGACAACGTTTCCATGTGCCACATTTCTTTGGTACTGGGCGTTATCGACAATGTTTTCATGTGCCACGCCCTCTTGGAATTGTGTGGTTTCTACACCGTTTCCAGATGCCACACCTTCTGAGTACTGAGAAGAAATTATAGAGTTGGTATCGACATTTCCATGTGCCACATTCCCTTGGTACTGAGCGTTATCGACAACGTTTTCAGATGCCGTGCCTTCTTGGTATTGAATGGTATCGACACCGTTTACATATGTCACGCCCTCTTGGTATTGTGTGGTTTCTACACCGTTTCCAGATGCCACACCTTTTGTGTATTGAGAAGAAATGATAGAGTCGGTACCGACAACGTTTCCATGTGCAACATTCCCTTGGTACTGGGTGTTATCGACAACGTTTCCAGGTGCCACGCCACCTTGGTTTTGGATGGTATCGATACTGTTTCCTGATGCCACACCTGCGTATTGAGAAGAAATCATAGAGTTGGTATCGATAACGTTTCCATGTGCCACATTTCCTTGGTACTGGGCGTTATCGACAACGTTTTCATGTGCCACGCCCTCTTTGAATTGCGTGGTTTCTACACCGTTTCCAGATGCCACACCTTCTGAGTACTGAGAAGAAATTATAGAGTTGGTATCGACATTTCCATGTGCCACATTCCCTTGGTACTGAGCGTTATCGACAACGTTTTCAGATGCCGTGCCTTCTTGGTATTGGATGGTATCGACACCGTTTCCATGTGTCACGCCCTCTTGGTATTGTGTGGTTTCTACACCGTTTCCAGATGACACACCTGTGTATTGAGAGGAAATTATAGAGTTGGTACCGACAACGTTTCCATGTGCCTCATTCCCTTGGTACTGGGCGTTATCGACAACGTTTCCAGGTGCCACGCCACCTTGGTTTTGGATGCTATCGATACTGTTTCCTGATGCCACACCTGCGTATTGAGAAGAAATCATAGAGTTGGTATCGATAACGTTTCCATGTGCCACATTTCCTTGGTACTGGGCGTTACCGACAACGTTTTCATGTGCCACGCCCTCTTTGAATTGTTTGGTTTCTACACCGTTTCCAGATGCCACACCTTCTGAATACTGAGAAGAAATTATAGAGTTGGTATCGACGTTTCCATGTGCCACATTCCCTTGGTACTGGGCGTTATCGACAACGTTTCCAGATGCCGTGCCTTCTTGGTATTGGATGGTATCGACACCGTTTCCATGTGTCACGCCCTCTTGGTATTGTGTGGTTTCTACACCGTTTCCAGATGCCACACCTTCTGTGTATTGAGAGGAAATTATAGAGTTGGTATCGACAACGTTTCCATGTGCCACATTACCTTGGTACTGGGCGTTATCGACAGCATTTCCAGATACCGTGCCCTCTTCGTATTGTGTGGTTTCTACACCGTTTCCAGATGCCACACCTTCTGTGTATTGAGAAGAAAGTATAGAGTTGGTATCGACAACATTTCCATGTGCCACATTACCTTGGTACTGGGCGTTATCGACAACGTTTCCAGATGCCGCGCCTTCTTGGTATTGAATGGTATCGACACCGCTTCCAGGTGTCCAGCTGTGTCCAGAAAACATGTCCGTCTTGTGCTTGGATGAAATGGAGCCTTGCGACATGACATCTGGACTATGGACTTGTGTTGTCGCGCGGATTTCTTGTGTAGACAACATGTCATTGTTATTCATATGAGTATTGCCATTACCGACCTCTATATTTGCATCTGGAACACCTGTAGATTTAAATGGCTTGTTCTCAGCATAACTACTTGAATCAAGATTGCGTGCCGAGTCCCGGAAATGCTGTGTGACTGTTTCAGTATTCTTCATCGTCGTCTCGTTAACTTCCCTTATACTTCCCTCGTTAGTCGTGATAGCATCGTGAATGCCACGGGCCTGAATATCAGGATCATATGGAGATACATCGATTCTATCCTTGGAAAACAAGTCGGAAGTTTGAGGTGGTGCAGAATTAGAAATCGTGTAACCATCCATCCAAGGCGAGTTCGTAGTGGGAGATGTTTCTGTATGAACTGCTTCTGTGTTCTTGTTTGAGCCAATAGTTGCAGTATTGAAATCTACCAATGTCGGTTGATCGGTGTTTAGATGATCTGGCTGTGTACCATGAATTGTACTAAACATTGGGTCAGCAGCATCGGTGTTCATATCAATATGAGAGTCTACAGTAGTCGCACCATTATATTCAACAGAAGTGCGCTGATTTGTAGACGCGTGGTTCCTTTGTATAACGGTGTTGGTATGCGAGCCAGCTCCTCCGGTGTTGCTTTTTACATGGGAGTCAACAGACGGCACCATGTTGGAATCTATGGACACGTCAGGATTAGTCTCTCTTTGATTTATATCGTAATGGTTGGTTGTCGTTAAATCTTGGTTTGACGTTCCCATTACACTTCGCACTTCAGTTAATGCTTCTAGTGATGTCATATCGACATGATGCTGTCTGCTCGGTACATTCTCTGATGAAAACGCCGCTCCTCTTACAACAACTGTGTCTAAATGATGGTTTGGAGTCACGACATGACCAAATTCGGTCTCATTTGCTGACGCAGCCCGACTACCAGGTGAAGGTTCATTGTATTCAATATGAGTATAACCTGTACTGGCTCCATGTGTGGCAGAATATTGTATGTTGTTCCTAGTCGTTGACTGGTAATCCACTCCTCCACTTACACTTGGTGTATTTTCCACAGTGTATGAAGTATCAAGGGAAAGATGGCTGACGCCACTTTCGTTGGTAGGTGTACTCTCGGTTGTAATTTGTTGATGGGCAGAATCTACTGTGCTTTTAATTTCTGTAAAAGCTATCAAGGTAGACATATCTGCATTTTGTTCCCCGGCAGAGCGATGTAATGAATCCCCTGGAGATGTAACACTATAGAAATCGTTCGGATTTGCCATGTCTGATGACTCGCGGAACTCGTTCGGCACGTCTACAGTTCTGACCAGTTGCGTTGACTGTATTCCAGACTTCCCTTTGTCAGATGTAGATTTGTTCTGGGTATCATTCACGCGTACATCAGGATTTGGCCGATCAAATGAACCTGCCACCAATATATTGTCCAGTTGCTTTGTACCTCCATTCAAATCACTCTGTATTGCATTGTGGGATTCCTGTGTTGTTGATTCGCGGGTAGATTTTGTAATGTCGTAAGCAGCAAGGTTCGATTGACTTGTAGTGTACTGTGGATCGCTGATGGGTTGTTCATTATTGCTTACAAACTGAACAGATTGGACATTTTCAGAAGCATGACTTGGATTATGGTTTTGCTGTGACATGGTTGATTCACGAAATGTGGATTTTGTAAAACTTGAAGTAACGATGTTCGGCTGATTTGTAACATACTGTGGATCGTTGACTGGAGGATATCCGTTGTCTCCCTGAGGAGGGGATTTGGTGTTTTCAGAAGTAACAAATGTTGTCGACTTGTACATATGAGATTCCTGCCATCCAGCGTTACTGGTTGGTTTCACATCGGAATGGAAACTGCTGGCAGCTGCGTTTGCTCCGTTTGTTGTAGTATGATCTTCCTGGTACCGGACAGTATCAGCATGGCTAATGTCTTTCGGACTTATCTCTTGATGGGCAGAATTAGCGGCAACGATTTCATTGTACTGATTTCTTATCATATGTCCATCCGGGCTCAACGTAGCGTCAGCCCTGGTGTTTGCCGTCACACTTCCGTGTACAACATTACCAAGCTTATTTTCGAGATTACTTGCTCCAGTTTCAGTTATAGCATTGGACACTTTAGAAATCTCTAAAGCATTATTTTCAACAAATGGTGTTTGAGTACCAACTTCGCTTATACTTTCAGTCTTCCCTAGAAGATCTGACGAAATGACGTTATTTTTCACAGGGGTTGATTCTCCTCGATTTCCAGACCACGATGCACTTCGAAGCAAACTGTTTTGTATTTGGAGGGCAGCATTGCTACCCGACATTGAACCATGTAAGGCGGTCGGGACAGGTGGAATGAACCCAGTCATAGAATTAGGCCCACTCTTGACACTAGAGTCAAATGATGCAACTTTATTATTTGTGAACTGCTGTCCATTATTTGAACCGTCTGAAAAGTAAGTATTCGTTTGTGAATTACTATAAATGTGGCCATCCCCTACAACTGGTGATGCGGCTTCATATTTCCAAGTATCGCCAGACACTGACGAACCGATACGATTGTCACCAATCGCATTATTTTGAAGATCCGAATTTGTCACTAATTTACTTTCTATGTTATATCCCGAATTAGTATTTTTAACATTAATTGAGCCAGATGTATCGGCTCCAGATTCTAAAACTATGCTCTCTGGTACCCGGTCGGATCCTTGTTGCTCAGTATGAGAGCTATAAGACGTTCCAACTTCCGATATATGACTCTGGAGGCTCATAGAAGCGTCTTTGCCAGACCATTCACCTCCAGCAGATCCTTGATTATGAATGGCCTGCTCGTTTCGAAACGTATTCTCCGTGGCAGAATAAGACATAGATCCACTGCTTTGCGGCATCTCGAGACCAGTATCTGTTTTAACGTTATCTTTATTGAAACTGTCTGTTTGAATTCCGGTTGGCCGCTGTGCCGCTAATACTGTCGAACCCTCACTAATGAACATGTTTCCTGTTGTAAACATGTTAGCTGTCTCGGTGCCTGTTGGAAGAGCAGTAGATTCTTGATTAGTATTCTGAACTGTTCCTTTGTGTGTATTGCCAGTCTTCGTTGACGATGTCATATGACCAGCCGCAGAGACAGATTCTGGTACATCCGTATAAACGGGTCCACGTGTGAGCCTAGATTCCGACCACACCTCCTGGTTTGTGTATGATATATCTGGGGTGGTATTTGTTGAAAAACCTTCTGTATATGCTGTGTTTGCATATGATCCATCCATAACAGTTCCAGATCTATGGTCAGCTTCCTTCCTCATTACCTCGTCGGAAGTATGATGCACGTTTTTATCAGAACTAATACCAGATGTTTGACTCGTTATTACTTTTCCCGTTCTGGCATCGGACGTGTAGCCGATTGTTTGTCCCGTATGTGCGCCCGATGTATAACCTGTTAAGTGTTCCACACCACCGCCAGCGCTACGACCTTCACCGACACCAGTACCATGATTCATTGCTTCTATGTTATTCACGTAAGACAAGTGATCTCTTGTTTGTCCCTTTATTGTGGAAGCCATGTGTTCCTCTGTTTGTCCGAAAGAGGTGTCAGAATTATGATTGATTCTTTGGCCCGCATCTGAGAAATGCGTTGTTTGACTAATGCTATCGATAGACGAATGACCCATTGGCTCAACAGTGCTATGGCCAACAACCGGATCGATTGTTTGTGTCATATTCGTTTGTCCTGTAACTTGGTCAACAAAATACTCCATATTCGGAGCTGTATCAGAACTATAATCTAATCTCTGGTCAAGTACATTGCCTGTGGTATGGCCTATTGAGTGGGTTTCGGTACCAGGGCTTTGCGTGTGTTCCGCAGTAATGCCGGAAGTATAATCTCTTCCTTCTCCTTTGGTTCCAGAATTTTGAGTCATTGTTTGTCCTGCGCTGGTACTATAGCCATGATCCATTGTTTGGTCTAAGTTTGAGTTAGACATCGGATCCATTGTTTCCACAGTACTTGTAGTTAACATATGATGGGTTGTTTGTCCCATGCTGACGTCGTACGTAGGGTCCATCGTATGGTCAATACTAGTGCCCGATGTATGATCCATTGTCATCTCTGTTTTGTCACCGGAAATGTTATATGTCTGTATGGAGTTTAGTCCCTGGTTGATATTAGCATTAGAAATATGAGTTGTTGTTTGTTCTGTGAAGGTATTAGCATTGTCTAAACTTTGCCCCGTGCTAGTACCAGTCGTATGGTCCATTGTGTTGACAGTACTTGCGTCTGATCTATGCTCTACCATCTGAGCATTAGCCGAACCAGACGAAAAATCAATTAGTTGCCCCATATCGACGCCATAGGCATTGTCCATTGAGTGTACACCACTTGATTCAGTAGCATGGTCTAGGTGTTGTCCATTGTTTGTATCCGATAAGTAATCCGTTCTCGTGCTAGATATTCTTTGTCCAGTGCCTTCATTTGAAGCATGGCTCACTGTCTGCAGACCACCTGTTTCAAACACTTGACCAGTTGATTGTCCCGTGTTTGCGACTGATAATTGATCTGCTCCCTTACTATAATAATCCACTCTTTGACCCATATTTGTACCAGAGACATGGTCCATTGTTTGAACACTACTTGGATCAATCCCGTAGTCAATTGATTGTAAGGTATCTATGCCTGATGTATGGTCTGTTGTTTGAACTTTGGTCAAACCAGAAGAATAATTCTTTCTTTGCTCAGTATCTGCACCGGAAATATGATCCATTGTCTGAACTGTACTGGTACCCATCCCCTGGCCCACTGCTTGTCCCATGTTTGCGTCTGATGTATGAGCTGTCATTTGAATTGTACTCGAGCCAGAGGAAGAATCCAATGTTTTCGCGTTACCTCCGCCTGCTGCTTCTCGGATGATCCCCATTGTATCACCAGAGGTATAAGTTATTTTGTGTGTCGCACTGGAGCCCAGTCCGTGATCCGCTACCTGACCCTGACTGGTTCCAGCAGTATGATCTGGCGCTTGCGCAGTAGTTATTCCTGTAGATTGACCTAATCCCGTACTAGCACTGTAACCGTGATCCGATTGTGCCATATTCGAGTCAAAAAACATGTTGTCTGCTTGTCCCGTACCAACCTCAGTATGACCCATTGTGTGTGTGTTACTGATGCTTGACGAATGTCCTATTTTATTCATTGACGTGTAATCCATTGTTTGTCCACTCTTTGCGCCAGAATTATAATCTCTAGTTTGTCCTGTTACGGCGCTATAGCTATGATCAGCCACTTGTGTACCAGTAAATGTGCCGGGCTTTGATGTATAACCACTGGAAAATACCGACTTGGTTGTCTGATATTCTGTAGGAAGAGATTCAGATTGCGTGTTGTGTGTCATGCCGCTATTTGTAGTGCTACTTCTAGTAACATTATATGTCGACCAACTGTAACCATTGAAACTTGTGCCGTGTTGCTGGTCGCGGCTTGCTTCATCCATGACTTTGATTCCGTTAGCAACATGAACATTTTGATGGCCTGCGATCGTTTTCGAGGTATATGTGACGTCATTAGGTGGAACTTCATTGATATTTTCCTGTAGACCAGACTGCAAACTTGATGGAACAGGAGGAATAAAGTCAATGTTTGCAGAGTACGATGAACCTCCTCCGGTAGTTACATCAGGCTTTGGTTGTTGTTCTGCAGTTGACCCACTCGTATATGCATTACTGTGTCCAGTGCTGGAAGACCCACTACTGGTAAAGGTATCAGTCTTTGTGGAAACAATTTCACTTGTAATACCAACTCCAGACCCAGCATTTAAATTTTGACTACCAGATGTTTTCTGATCAGCGGCTACACCATTACTCGTCTGATAATCCACAGAATTTATTTTCGGTCCAATCGTCAAACCAGGTATACTAACGCCCCCCAGAAACCCTCCAATGGGAACACCATTAGGATCAGGAACTTTTGGCGATTCCTCTGGGGCAGTGGACACTCTTTGACCAGCCAACACTAAAGCGTCCTTTGAGAAGTCACCAAGCATAGCTATTCCACTACCACCCATGTTATGGTCGGTATTCGAGCTACCAGACGAGCCAGAGCTACTCGAAAGTGAAGTTCCAGGTACTACCCCTGAAGTTTTGGACGAATCCACGATGGTCTCTTCTATTCGTGCTGAATTTGGACCTGTGGCAGGATGATCATACATAATGCCTGTTTGAATGTCGATCGTACCAGAACTTTCCGTGACCGTGCTTTCAGCATTGTTCCGACTTTTCACGTCTCCTGAGGTTCTTTCCATAGTTGGTATGTTATAGCTGATCCCATTCACTTTCTGTTTTATCGAAGTGCCAGCCTCATACGGGAACGTCACGGAATTAGCTTCTCCTGTTTGGGACGATTCAGAAGGCGAGTCTGTATAGCTAGAGAAAGTTTCTTGATGGGAGACTGAGCTTGTCGCTCCATTTGCCCCAACATTAAGGGAGTTAGTGTTAATGGTTCTTGCGTCAATGTGTGGTGATACGTCTCTGTTCGGGCCCTCATTGACTGTAAGGGTGATTCCGGATGGTGGTTTGGTCGATTCATATTCGTTAGTTGAGGAACTATCAGTGGAATAAACAGAGCCACCTGCATAACCGTCAGATGTAGAGAATTCAGGGCCAGTGGTATTATATGAATCGCCCTCAGCACCAACATGTAAGATATTGGTCGTTGCTGTCCTATTGTCGATAACGTCTTGAGCACGATCGGGTCCCTCATCAACTGCAATGGTTATAAAGGGGCTTGCCGTGGTAAGGTAAAGTTCTGCTACATCACTTTTAGTGTCATTCAAAGTGGTATTCGTCTCCACATTTGTCGTTTCAGATGCAGAATATGAACTTTGTGAATACTGTTGAGTGCTTGAAGATGAGATCGCTTTTGATTCGCCTGGGATAACATCGAAATTTTCCTGAAACTGAAAGATTTGTTCATTGTTCTGTGTATTTGCAATTTCGGGATTCAAATGAGAGACAGATTCGGTTGTATCAACATTTACATAGCTACTCGATGTGTGATTAGCTATTTGGTCTGTTGCCTCTGGTTGGTTACCGACAACACCAGGATGTACATTAGAGGTTGTTCCGCTATGATGATAATTTGATGAGCCAGAAGAGTAATGAAAGAACGTTTCTGTCCCTCCGTGTTGGGTATTTGCAGTATCAGGTGTAAAATGAAATATTGTCTGTTCATTTTCTGTGTTAACACTGGATGTATGTTTGACCGGTACTGAATTTTGATACTGTTCTTCTTGATAGTCTGCAGCCTTTCTATACTCTCCAGTGATGCTTGCATCATATAATCTGCTTCTTGGTATTTCGCTCCCCACATTAACAGATCTTGTTGGTGCGGTTTCAGCGACACGTCCCTCCGTGTAGTTGTCAATAGTCACCTCAGGATCTGGACCATTACTAAATTGTGTGGAAAAAGAAGTAACCTTTGAGGTTTCATGATACTGGCTATTTGATTTACTGAAGTTATCGGACGGTGTTATGCTAGACGACATACCAGTCTTCATGGAATTGATATCGCTAGACGCTACACCAGTGGTTGAAAATAATCCACTATCTGTTGTCATTTCTAAGTGAGCAAATCCACTTGATGACAGTTCATTTGGTTTTGCCGTGGCAATCCCGCTTGATAACATATCAGTATTTGCTGGCGAAGACGATACAGTGGCGCTGGATGACATTCCGTTATTGGGCGAAAATGTATAACCGAATAACGTACCACTACTCGGTGATGTTGTATCACTAGATTGTATCCCAGTACTATGAAGGTTTCCACCATCTGTTGTTAATTCAGGATTAAAGTTCGTGGACCCAGTAATGTCACTAGATGCAGTCACGGTTTCAATGATATCAGTACCAGGAGATGTACTTTCCACAACCTGACGTTTAGGCCTTTCCAGAAATTGGACACTGTTCTCTGGAACTGATTCAATGATGGCCACGTCAGCACATCCAACATACGTATAGAGAGCATCGTCTGAAATTTAAAAAAATGTAATTTTACAACTATTTTACATACACTATCTCGCATGAATTCAATGCAATTCATCGTCATTAAAATTGTGCTCTTTACTTGTTCAATATTGAATGAGATTCGCAAGGTCAATTAATAATAGGTGACCAGTCAGTCAGTGGCCCAATCATTCATTAACATTTGGTCCTGACTAATGCTAGGTATATGCTAGGACGCAAAACACCACATAAACAATAATCACCAAAAAGGTTTATTTTCAGCGATCCAACTGTCGTGATCGCTATCTCAGTGAAGTTGACGGCCTACGGTATATCATAATCACGCGGTCAGAGGACAAAATCCACAACCTTCTCACTTAAATATTGGCGCAATAAAAGAGCCAAACCAAAAGATATGATTTACAAAGCAAAGCATTTGAAAGAAAACAGTTCGTCAGGAAGGAGATAAATATCACAAAAAGACACCGATTACGTGAGAATACTGACTTGTTTTTCAATACATGTCTGTACAAGGCGAATAAGCTTTGGATTGTAACATATTCTTTTTGAACATTTGGTCCATTCTTAATTCCGTTTTAACATATGCGTCTGTGTTAGGAAAGGTAATGAGAAAATTTTTTGACTGATTCCAGTGCCACTACGGTGGACCAGGGGTGGTTTAAGCCAGTTTGTCGATGATCTGTCATTGCAGAAAAAGTGCATAAATGATTGTATTCTCTGCTTTTTAAAGCTGTGTGAATTAGAGTGTTTTGATGCTTGCGGCAGAACAACGTAATTACACTATAGGGTAAATCCCCGTCAGTAGAACGCAAATGTCGACTGTGTAATATGACGCTGTTAACTAAATGCTATTCATTGCAAACAAAGCCTCTGAAAATTATACAAAGTGCACATACGCAAATAACACCTTGCAATATAAGTCTAGAATTAAACTCAAATAAACTGTGCCATAAAGGTGTTTGGTCTTCTAGGATTAAATAGTGACACTAAATCGTAAAAAAATATATGGAGCGCAAGAAATTAAAACTCGGTCGAACCAAACGACCATATCATGTGAGATACACTAGCTCCATAATTCTACCGATACCTGGTAAATTGCTTACCACATTGAACCTTGAAGGGCTTAGTCGTGGCACCCTTAAGTGTTCACACAACATTGTAAATTTAAATCAACATTGCTTGAAGACCATTTTGCTGATTTTGATTAGATATGGTAGACATTACTTCAAGTAGGTAGTTATGTTGATATATACTGTTGTCTGATTGGTTAAGCCCCAAGAGGGACAGAGTGAAGGTTACATAATGATGCAAAACTAGTCATCAGAATATTGTCGAGCTAAAGTCTGACTGCCATCCGCCCTGGATAAGTTGTACCATATTCGACATAGGACAAGCCTCGGACTAAACCTTAGCCCCTTAGATAAAATGCAAGAAAATTTCCACATGACAACATAATCATAATCCAAACCTAATGTTAGGAAAACTAGAGTAAATCATGAACAAAGAAATATTTATACAGAGACTCTTCAAAATGTACAAGGAGAGTAGGAACATGTGTGCCGGGAAAGTCGGCGTCTTCTGCTTCATCGGCAACACCCGCCATATAAATGTTGTCTCTAAGGTAGTAGTTCACAGTTTCTTGTTGTGGCCATGGGTGATATGTTTGTTCATAAGATTACCCAATTATAAGGGTTTTAATTAAATTTTTTAAAACAATCGATGCTAAAATTGGTCTTGTCATGTTGAAGTGGGGTTCCATTTTTGCAGAATAATATTTTAGCTTTGAGTTGAAGATTACTATTTGGACCTTCTCGAATATGTGTCTTCGCACCAAACACTAGCTCTACAGGAAGTGAAATTTTTATAGCGTTTACATGTGGTCATGTTGTGAAGGATTTTCAAGTTGGAATTTACTGAAATGTAAGCAGTTTATTACCACGAAAGTGTTGGTGATTTTAAGACAGGTGTTCAGAAATAAATTTCTTCTATCAAGTTGTAGTCTTAGTTTTGAATTGGCAGTATATTTGCATTTTTAGCATTTTCAGTTGGTAACCATGGCAATCAGATGTCAGAAATCAGAGGAAATGTTTTATTTACACAACATGTATCTCTCTACTATTAATGTAATTGTGAGGTAGTATATACATGTAATGATGTATTTTTCATAACCAAACTGCTATACCTGTATATTTCAAACATGACCACTAATTTTTAGAAAAATGCAAATTAACTGTTTCCTGCTACCTCAGCTAACGGCCTATAGATATAACAACTTAAAATTAAACTATTTCTCTGAATTCAGTCATGATAAGCTGATAAATTACACATCCAGGGTTTTCGAAATGTATGAAATTTATCATCAGTATGACATACAAATGACTCGGCGGTGTGAACGATACTCTTCGTGTATAAGGAGATGTATATTTTACTTATGTATTATTAATGTACAGGTTAGTCGATACATCATTTGTAATTAACTTAGAAATAAACCAATGCATCATGCTCGCTATAATATTCAGGCTAATATTCCCCAGGGGAAATTGCAAAGAACGAAATTTGTTAATAAAATATGTGTCGGAATTATAATTTTATTGCCGTTTGAATAAATAATTAAATTATATTTTAACCAATCCCTTATATATTAATCTTGCATTGTAAGGCAATGATTATCTTCTTTTGTCAGAAAATGAACGGCGTGGTGTACATAGACTTTCGTCCTTCTTCCAAATGTAAATGTCTATATGACGCTAGCAAATGAGAAATGTAAATCTTGTGACAACGTAATACACCGATTGACATTTAGTATGATTTACATTTCTTACACGTGTATTGTTTTGTCGCTATAATAAGTATTAATACCTTTGTTCTAAAGTAGTATATACGTTACTTATATTTGTGATAACGCTTAGCACAAAAATCTCTGCAAATCGTAATTACGTATATATCTTTTAGTCTCCACTGTTCAAAACCAAACTGCATGGAGACCATTATGATTTATCTTTTATATCTGGATTGTTTTGCATTCCGTGTTTGAAGTGGTGTTATTTTAACATATGAATATTATATGAATAATTAAAAACAAAATAATAAAAAAAAATATTTACCCTACTTGAATGTATTGTTTAGATCAAGCTGATTGAGCTTTCACAGCTTGATATACATGGTAGTTTGTATTTTTAACATCCTATAACTGCTCTGGCATTTTCAGTATATATGGGAGGCGAGTCCATGGATGTTCAGGAGGCTGCGATGTCTTTTGCTCAGAATTTTGCTCTTTATAAGTGACTTTTAAAGGGTTCATTTTACATGCCGTATGTTTAATAGAATACAGAGATTTGTAGATGTCGTTGACCGAAACAATTAACGCTAATAGTCAGTATACATGTCTGTAACGCATCAGACAGTTAGTGCGGACATCAAAGGACTTTTACTACTGCTATCACAGACAAATAACACACCTGTCAAAACAGACAGGTCATCGGTATGTGACTAAGTGTTATACACACAAATATATGTATAAGCCTAACTCACCAGCCAAAACATTGCTAGATTTTACAGTGTTAGCACACATTGGCAATATTTTTTTCAAACACCTCTTCTTTATAAAAACAACTAAATGTTTTAAAATGTGAACTCATTCCCTTTGTTACCGAGACAGACTTTTATTTTTATATTCTAATAAATTATAATCTCTGATGACAATTAAATATCATACAACAAATTAACATATGATCATCTTTAGTTGTATGAAATGAGATGTTTAACATCATATAAACGAAAAACAAATTAATAATTATAATTAACGACAGAAAAGTAAGCGATTAAAATATTTTTGTAGACAAATAATTAAAAAAAATATCGAAAATAATTGAACAATTAATGATAGATATGTCGTAGATTGCCATGTTCAGGTAAATCATTATCATTGATGAATCATATGTAATACTAATTTGTATATTTAAAAGAATGCATAAATATGATTCATACATTAATCATTGTCATTGATTCTATCTTAAAATCTTTGCAGCTGTGTAAAATCATTAACATTCAGCGATCGTGATATGGTTAGGTAATACATCTCTATTACTTTCAACACTGAATTTTAAATCTATTTTTATCTTATGACAATGACGATATAGGAAAGGTTGCAGACATTAAAGGAAACGTACATGGTTATGTAAAAGAAAAGATGAGAGAATACGTACTGAAATATACAGAGGTCTTGCATGACTGGGTGTAATATTGATTTTTTTGAACGAGTTGATAAGTAACGAACCTCAGTGCGGATGACGTGTCAAAGTATTCAACGAGTTTAACAAGTTCCATTTTACGTTTACATTAGTATACGATTATATTTATCATACAGCCCGATTTCTGAACAATAAGTGAAAACTCGAATTTATTTCCCTATAACACAGACTCATTTCGACACAGGCAATATGTTTTTACAGCACAGAGGCAATTACGTTATATTAGGACGTGACTTATAGTAATATTACAGATGTTTCTCACGATATTAGGATACCATAGGCAAGTTATGTGATAAGACTTAATACGTAGTGTACAGTAGAACGTTTTAGTGTAATTGTTATAGTACTGTCTAAGCAATCGATTATACTGATCTTCTATAAAACTATACAATTGATACAATTTCAATTAAAACAACATTTTTAAACAATTGGTCTATGTTAATGTCTATGTTAGTTATTATCAAAATCATAAATTTAAAAAAAAACCCATATGTAAATTGTTTATTCTAAATAATTCTATGCATTTACGTAACGCAATTTGATTGGATAATGTCCGTGATCTATTTCCGTTTTTAACTAATGAATTGTCAAGTTACTGCTGTTCATTCATTAGGACGCTAGATCAAATATGGCGACCATCTTTATGTTGGTGGCAGATAATCGATCTCGACCTCGAATATCATGATAACGACAGGGTCACATGTGTCATCGAAATCTGAGGTGGATAGAAGGATCATTGCAATCTTAAAGATACAAAACTCATGATTCAATCTTCAGGATATGCATAAAAAACAAACCCAATTATATTAACATTGAAATGCTATTTCCAAAAATAAAATTTATATTAACCAATTACCGATAGACTGAAATAGCTGTGCTAAACAACGAAAAAATACTAAGTGTACCGAAGTGACTTCCATATATGTAAACAACTATTATCATATACTATGTAGTATTTCTTTGAAGTCTAATATAATAACATCACTATACAAATGGACTCTATTTCATAATATTGATTGTGACATAGCTCCATGACGAAAAACCAAGCGGAAAGCAGAACTAAAAAAAGAAAAATAAGGATTGCTACTTGAATCATCTATCATGACAAATCTATAATTATTTTTGTAGTTGTTATATTGCCGATTTGGACATACATTTGTTCTGTAACATACATGCATGTGTTACATTATTCTATTTGGTTTTTAAACAAACAAAAAGATACCAAAACAAACATTCACTTTAACGTGAAGAACGGAATGTTTTGGTAACATAGATTTTGATATGAAAACCGTGCTTAAATAAGTAACTATAAATAAATATTATATAAGATGAAATAGATGTTTAAAAGTAATTAAGTGATTAGTTATGACCTATATTAAGAAAATGTTACCGATATAATTTATTCTAGATGTTCCTACTTTTATTCAAGTCAAGCTACGATACGGGTCTGATGCGACATTCAACATAAGTGTGCCAGTAATGCGGATGAAAAACGTTTTAAACGTAAAATGTAGTTAAGCAGTAGGGCCGACTGTGATGTTTTCGTGTGTTAAGGGGAGATCGAGAGAAGTTGACCGTCATGCTCTCCCGTACTGTGACAACTAATTTCAATGATCATTGATCAATCTTAATCTGAACAACTTTTACTCGCTGTAAACAGATAAAGGCTTGGAATTATGCGTTTTATCAAATGCCTACAGATGAGTGCCAGGTTGACAAGTATTGTTATTTACTGGTGAGTCACTGGACAATGACTTTGCTCTGGTATTAATTTCACGAATCAGCTTTGTTTCGGGGATATTCTAAAGCAAACACATTATTTATGACATTTCCTGCTCTTCGTCATTCCGTGTCAATCTCACATCACAGCATTTTGTGTTACAGCACTTAAATTGAACATTTCCCAACGGAAAATTTTACCAGGTTTTCGTAACTTCACCGAACCTGTGATCAAGGTTTCAATATCATAGGAATCTAGACTTATAAGCGAGTCCTAGAAGAACCAAAAACTGTAAGATGTAGTTAAAGTAATAATGTGACTCGACTGTAAGTTAAAAAACGATGCTAATCGATTGTGTCAGATGTACAATCGGTTAAATGGATAGTGGTTAGAACTAAGTAAGGCAAGTTAAAGTCAAATGTGGCCAGTTAATCTATATACTATGAACTTTATTTTACCTCATTTATGGCTGGCATGTTGAATGTTACCTGGGCACACCCCGGACTGATAGCATTAACGATAATTGATGGATAATGGTGAATGTTTTCATAAATTTAAACGATATGATATAAAAATAAAAAAAAATCAATCACTGTTTTTTGACATATTAGGTAGTCAAAATTATAATGCTAACAGGGAGGAGCATTAATTGAAATTATATTTTGAGGAAAAGAAGTCAGGAGGGTAATAACAGTGTTTGTGTATTGGCGAAGGTTTCCTTACTGACATTTAAGTTCCTCTATATAATATATCTATTCTGAATCATCATGGGGGTAGCATATTATCTTATTCAGGTTTAACAGATGTTACAACTGATTTAATCTTACTGATAAACTCACCCGTGGTAAAAAGCCATCGAAGCACACAATGTGTACAATTAGACATAGGTGGCGCTAATGTCACGTGATCAGTCTCCTCAAAGTTTGTATGCACCGTCTTTGTGTCCAGTACATCCATAACATGGTTTTTGAAACACTCTTCTGTAACGTCATCAGCAAATTCACATAAGCTGAACTTAAATTGACCCTTGTGATGCAACGACCGTGTAATTTTAACCTCGAGTGGCCGATCGCTGATATACTGCTTCACAATGAAAGAGCCGATGACTGATCCCTCACCACATACACTGCATTTCGATGAGTCTTGATTCTGTAGAAAACACAAAATGTTTAATTTTATGTGGAAACAAATATGATGGTAGGTAACAATATGTTTTTGTTTGAATTTAACGTCCTATCAACAGCAATGGTCATTTAGGAACAGCCACTCAATTTATGTGACGTGAATGTTTGTAAGAGGATATGTACAACAGCAATGTTAGAAGAAAGAAAAGACATTTTGGGGGAAAAAAGGCAAATTACAAACTGACAGATGATCGTCAATATTATTATATTTCTTTGTACAATGATAGTTTGATTTTCTTCATCTACGTAAATTTAAGAGTTGGGTCGGTGGTCATATTTGATATTGAACAAAAACATCCAAACATATCTTAAACATTCATATATAAATATGGGCATACTCGTTCAAAAACAGGTCCCTTTTGAAGTGACCCTCCGTCTCATTTGGATTGGGTAAAAAGTTTATCCTCATCTCGCTATGTATGATCGGTCCTTGTTTTTAAAAAACGACAGAACATCGGAAAAAAATCATTCGTAATACATTAATACTATATCATGAACTTTCCTTTTACTTTCATATTGCTGTTTGCTGGGTTCCTGGGCACATGACAATGAAAAAGCAAATAATGCCGCAACGGAAGCTTTATCACTACCACCTGTTATTTTTAACATTCATTTTACGATTTTAAACCAGTTATCAAACAGTGTTTAAAATCTCAGTGGCAGGATGAATCGAATTAATTTACTAACAATACATTGCACTCCGTAAAACCTATCATCGGTGAATGGTCTCCATACCATAGAGACAACCACCGAGACGAAGTTGTCCTTGCCCGTCTTCGGATGGGCCATACATTCCTTATACATTCATATATCTTGAAAGGCGAAGATAATCCTCGGTGCACAGGAGGTGATGCGTCTTTCACAAACAATCTGTTATTGGAATGTAATTACCTTCTATCTACTCGAGAAATTTTATCGTAACATTACAAGTCTAAAGATCCTTTTTAAAGCTGTTGAGAACCATTTAATTTTTGAGTATTTGTCTTTTACCTTTTAGTTTGTTTAATGTTATTTCCTTTTTGGATCGCACTTTGTTTTACCGTTTGATGACCCTAATGACCTTTTATGTGTCAGCGGGCCTTTAAGAATGTCATAATAATAGAAATGATAATAATGATAATAAAACACGACAGATAAATATTATGGATTGACTCTGTATTTCATAACATATTCATTGTATAAACATGTCATTCAAATAAATGTAACGTACAAAACCACTTTTTATGTTTTTTCAAGATTATGTGGGGGATATGTGATCGTAAAAACGATTTCTTTGGGAAATATCCTGTTTCCTTAGGCTATATATATGGTCACGTTGGTCTCATTTAAACATGTGACATTAATTGCTTGGATTAACAATATTTACAAAGCGGGTGTTATCAATGAACCAGAAGACGCTACCTCTACAGACCACTCTCATCCTTGTGCTTTGTGATGCGTCTCGGTGTATATTGTTATATTTCGCCCTCATCAGATTCTAGTTTGAATTAAGATTCATTTTCATTCATTTTTAGTTCTACGCTATCTGATGTAAAGTTATATTAAAGGGACTATTCACTTGTCTTTTGTACATATTTGGCTTGTCGGTATTTTCTTTGTTGTTATTATTTTGTTATCCACAAAGCTTGGGTTTATACAGATTAAATATAAATAACACCATAACATCAAGGCATGAAAATTTAAATTGAGATGATGACCATAATAAGACCCCTATTTATACACCGATTTATATAAGCTTTAAGGTTATTTCTCGATTGTAAAAACAAAATATATATCAGTGTACCGAGAGGTTCGAGTTACGAACACATATTAAATATATGCTGAAGTGACTAAAACATCACGTACTAGTGTATATCATAATAAAACTAACTCGTCACCACATATATCAATGTCTGTTAAGGGCATCGATAATATTCTATATAAATGAGTTTCCGTTCAATGTGTTTAAATCCATCTGCCAATCAGAAGGTTTGTACAGATATGCAAAAATATCCTTTTCCTTAAAAACTCATTATAAAGATGTAAACGTTTAATGCACTTTTCGGTATGTGTATTTATGTCAAATTGTTATTGTATTAAAGTGTTAAGTCAAGAGAAAGCGATGTCATGATGTCTTATTTCATAGTGTTTTCGTGTATGGTTTGATTAATTACATACGTTACTCTTCAATCAGATTTTTGTCATACTTTTGGAGCTAACTGTTCATCTTCCTTCGCTGATTTGTTTCTAGCGTGGCTGAATTTGTCAAAGAGGTTATCAAAACAGGTCAAAAAGAAGCAAACACCTGCAATTGGAAATCCTTCAATTGGCATCTAGAATATATTGATGACGTCTTGTCCTTCAATAACAAGGAATTTATTGACCACGTCAATCGTATATACCCACCAGAACTGTACATTTTTTGTGATAAACAGGATGAATTGAATTTTCTTATTATGAATTTCCTTTTTTCGGGACATCCAAACACAAATGGTGTCAACATGTCGAAAAAAGCAGATATTTCTGCTGTTTATAAAATTATCAGAAAATGTATATAACATGTTGTCTATAAGATTTATGAATGTTTTATTTAATCACTCTCACACACTTACTTGTGTAACAAGAAGCCGCATACATATAGTTAAGATGACATATGACTTGTAATGATAAGCACAAAAATACATTTTCTGTACATATTGACAATTAACTTTTGCGATTATTACATAGAGAAGGAACACAACCTAGCATAGTATTTAGTTTTTCTATAAATCTACACATTTTTGTTACAATTCTTGCATTGGATATATCAAGCAATCCTTGCATTCAAGTTTGACTTGAATAAGTGAAGGAACATTTTGGTTTATAGTTCGCTCTTATATATAAAACTGATTCACTTTGAAATTAAATGAATAGTGAATTTTTTCTGCAATGTCAGAGTTACATAAATAACGGGTTGTTTTCTTGATGAGGAATACCTAACCAACTTCCTATTGCTACAGATGAATGCCCATTTTAAGAAGGAAACTTACACATAAAGAGATATTTAATCGACATCATAGTATTTGAGAGCAAATATAATGTATTCATGGCTGGTTGAAATGATGATTTGGAACAAGCTATCACCTTTCTGACTTTTTTGTTGTGAAATCACATCCATTGTATATATCTTTCAATTGTGGAGCAGACTTGTATTAATTATTCTAATTATAGGGAAGTGTTCGAGAGATTTTACTGTGAAAGGAAACTGACAGAACATGTGACTCCATATCATGCAAAGTCCGATTTGGGAATCCAATTCCGGTCGCCTGGATAAGTATCCCGGCTGCTGCATCCGATCAAAAAATCAATGGATCCACAAAACAAGACAAAACATGCTACAAGATTTGCACTATATAATAAATGTTTATGTTGCATGCAAAAATGCTTTATTTGGTAGTACCAAAAACACCACGAAAATACCAACATGTCAACATATTAATAATCCAAACTCAAATTCAATAAACCAAAAGCACACTATGAACAAAAGAAAGATTTACTCGGAGACACCTGAGAGAGTACAAAGTGAATACGACCAGGTGTTTCGGAAAAGTCATCGTCTTGACCTTCATCAATGACATTATGCAGGCATTGATCACGTTCTCAAATGAGAACTAGGTATATAACAAAGGAACCATCAGGCAAAATCACGACCATCAAACCAGCTTCTAAACGTACGAAGAAATTGATTAATTCTCAATGAGATCCCTCTAACCCCCATAAAGCTACGATAAAGACCAATACGTTATTTGTAACAATAGTGACCGATAAAAGTGGTCGGGATTAATCCAGATTAACGGACAAAGCTATAGCGTAAAATTTTACTTTCCACTAAAGATGAAGGTATTTATAAAAGAAATTACTGCTATGTTATCTTGAATTATATACAGGTATGCTGACGCTAAGTAGGGGGAGGTACATTAACATAAGCATGATAGGTCAATGCCGGACAACAGCGGTCAAATAACCTTGGTTTTATGGCCAGTTTTATAGACTGTGTTTGTCCTTGGCACATTCCTGAATTTGTCCACTGAAGGTCGACAGAGTGATTGATTGTGATCAAATAAATAGCTATATATACAATCATTACATTGACAATAACAAACAAATGTGTATACTGGAAGTGATTTATCGCGGAAGCGATTGGGGTATAATTTATAAACAAGAGGTGCCATTATGAATATCATTTCGTAATGCATATTTCAGTGATAATCGGGCAATGCTAATTTAAATTTTGTATATATGATAGTTAACTATTCCTTCTTATATTTCCAAGAAAATCAAGGCGTCTACGGATCGACACACACAGGAAACACAGTCTAGTTAACCTAGTGTTTGGGCGTTCTCACAACAGTCATATGAGAATGGAAGACTTAGGACACCAACATATATGATAGGATCAGTTTATTGTAATCAGACCAATTTTCAATGTCTCGTTTGAAGAATCCTCCTTTCTTTAGTGCAGTGAGGTAGAGCAGGTATGTTATTTTCGTATCTCTTGCATAGATAAGTTGGTAGTAGAAGACAAATATCATGAATATGAAAAATATTAATAGTGTATAATTGATTTGCCACAAAGTATATAAGATATATATTACCACGTTTGTTACGAGGATATATTACAGGCTCATGTCATGTTTTGTATTTGAGATGATGTATTAACTCTGATGGATTATATCTTCTGTTGACCATTTTTAATTCATACATTAACATTTGATATATAGAAATTATGATATTTCGGTGCGACTACGCTATAAAAATTTCCTTTTGTGCGCCTATCGACTGTCTGGCATTAGCTGCTCTGATGGTATAAAACAACAATTAAGATACATTACAAATAGGAACAGGACGAGGCCACAGGTTAAATTATGTGCGCATCAATATGAGTCTGACGAAATACACTGATGGATCACTGATCAATGAAACAGGTAATGAATGAATCGTAACGTAACGTCATATGAATAAATGAATACGATAATCAGACAATGGTTTTAGGATACCTGATATATGCACCTCCATTTCATGAGAATTTCGAAGGATGAAAATTGGTTCTATGAACCGAACGATGAAGAAAATTCATTGCAAGTTGTGAATGTTTTCTTTTCATATTGATATAATTAAATTAAACCTCGGTAAGGGAGACAACTGCACTCCTTATCACTGATAAGTTTGGTTTATATTGTTTAACATCCTATCAACCTATATGTAACTAGGAAGGCCTCAAATTATATGCATGTTGAGTGCACGACTTCAAGTCGTGATTTGGGAGATTGCGTTATGTTCCTGTGAGACTCCTTGTGATAGTGTGGAACTGGGCCAGATTTGAAATAGTAGTGTTATCACACTGATGCGTAATGCCGACGACACCAAGCAAGACTCACAATCCGGTTAAACTATACTAGCAACGGACAAACAAGTCTCTTCCCGTCGTTTCTCTAGTACTTTGTGCATAGGACGTGATGAGCCATTCACCGTTAAACATTTTTTATTGGACTGTATTGACCTTCTGTCTACTCGAGAATGTTTTTATCGTAACATTACATGTCTAAAATCCCTTTTTGAAACTGTTGAGATTTGTAAAATTCTACATTACCTGAAAGATGGTGTATATAATAAACTATGACGTAGCATTTTAATCTTTTGTGTTAACATACCCATTTAAGATTTTTAACATTTGTCTTTTACCTTTTGGTTTGTTTAATGTAATTTCCTTTTGGATCGCTGTGTGTTTTACTGTTTGATGTCCCTAATGACCTTTTATGTGTTGACGGGCCATTAAAAATATAATAATAATAATTCTCTAGTACAAGGTTGAGTGTTAAACAAGGAGTGGAAATAACCATTGTTGTTAATTTCCTCGAATGATCAGGACATGTACATATATTTTTATAAATTTGGATAAGATACAGTAGAGCGATTAGTTGAACAGCATCATACTGCTGTTTCGACCTTCTAGGACTCGCCAGTGATGCTACTTCTTACAGCTGTTCCACCCGTCTATGATCCGTCGATGATGCTACATCATACAAATGTTTCGTCCTTCTAGGACTCGTTAGTGATGCTAAGAGCCTAAATGGTAAATATAGATGGCAAATGAGGACATTCCAGTCATCGAACGAGACGTGAAAAATCATATGGGGAGATACACTAGCCCTACCAATATGTAAATGTTCATTTGCACGAACAGACAACACCGCAATAAATGAAAACATAAATAAATAAAAATTTATAAATGTCAACGTTAACTTGCAATCAGGACCATAAAACAAATTTTAATCTAAGAGAATGCTTCGTCTATCACATAATACTTTTCTCCGTGTTATCCGTAATTGTTTTGTCTTGAAATCGTTCATGATCCCGTGACCAGAACAATTAAGGTGGTATGTAGGATAATTTCGTACTGCACTTTATATTTCCATCTAACTATTACTGATTGAAGGTTTATTTGACTTGCTTCATATTACACCAGCAGGTTTTTCATGAATTGAAATCAAAGGAGACATAATACAGATTAATAATATACTTCTATCAAAAATTAAGCGTTCTCTTAAGATCCATGACGTATTACTATTTAATGACGCGTGTATGCCATTTCAAGAACATGTTATGAACTATCCGCACTTAAATCATATTGTACTGAATTACAGTGACTTTATTCTCTAACATGCAACAAGTATATTTTTATGATAACGGCACCACCAATTAAAATTGGAAACCATTCCCACTATCAAAAATCTAGTTAACGTGACATTTTTTGGTCACGAAACTGAGAATTTTATCTAAGCTCTTAATAAATATGTTCCAACTTCTATATTATGCATTTCTTTCATACATTTTTTGTCTGTTTAATGTTTTTAACCAGTCCCCCCTATATTTCGTTTGTTTGTTTTTCGTTCACTTATCATTGATTTTAATAACATCTTTATAAATGGGCATTTCCTAAGAATGCATATCAATAGGTGTGAACTACTAACCGTTTGGTTTGCGCATGGCGCTCCATCCTGTAGGTCACGTTGTGTTGGGTACCCATGCCGCCACAAACTACGACGCCCTGGCGGATCTGACATACGGACAAAATACTGCTCCTCGCCGTATATTGAAGACACACACATTGTTATGAACAGTGTTAATATGTAATTCATATTGTTGAATTATTTAAACAAAATACAAGAAAAATGGAATTTCAAAATCCAATCACACACGAAAAATCTCAGTTACGAAACTGTTGCCTTCAAGTAAATATTGAAGTTTTGCGAATAATTTACATATATAGTGTTAAACTTCATCCTTCTCATAG